TCAGATCCCTGCTTTCTAGCAGGAAATGGGTATTTGTGAGTTTAGAAAGAAAGCCTTCATGGTGATTCAGTATGATTCTAACCTGTTTCTTCCGTGATGTAATCTGCCTCCTTCACTCTAGCGTGGTGGTGATTGAATCAGTTCCATGGTATTAAATAGTGACACCTTCCTCTTAAAATCACATTTACACTACTTACTTTCACCTTGTAGTACTTGACCAGAATCTCAGGATCTGAGTTTTATGTATTTGTTAATGTTGTAACGGTGCTTTCCATAAAGTATTTGGGGAAATCATCCTCTAGGCTGTATTAACATTCACCTGTGTGTTCTCTTCTCACCCAAATACATATTGGGTTGGAAACTTATGAATCTCTAGCAAAACAGATATTCCTTTCTCTGATGAACAGGTCTTGTGGTCTCTAAGCCGGACCTGGTCACCTTTCTGGAGCAAATGAAGAATCCCTGGGATGTAAGGAGAACGGACACAACAGCCATATACCCAGGTAGGTGTGAATGGATGGAGCTGATGACTCAGGTGAGAGGCCCAAGGAGCAGTGAGGAAGTCAGCCTTTGTCCTGTAGCTTGGGAAGACGTGCTCCAGTGGAAATGATTTTGGAAACTCTGGGTTCATTTCTGTTGCTGTCATAGACGGACATTGCCTGGCTCCTTCTGTCTCTCAATCATTCATGAATTCAGCTCCATGCTTACTTTTCTCATTCACAGTAAGAATTCAAATTCTCTTCTTGGCTTGTGACAACTTGCATGAGTTGGCTGCTCTTTCATGTCTTGGGGGTCCTAGGAAACCTGCCCGTTGACGAGTAAATATAAGATACTCTTTTTAAAGTTTGTTTCTACCTCTAGAAAGAAGTGTGTGAGTGAAACTGTAAACAAACTACCAATACTCTAGGAATATTGGAGACAGAATTTTTTTTCTGATTTATATTTTCTAAAACACTGGAAGCTACAAATATGACCTTATACATTTTAAACTCATTTCAATGTATAAAGCAAAACCTCCATAAAATGAGAGAATGCAATTCTCTGAGTTACACCAATGTTTCACTTTTCTTTACATGAACTCATTTTAAATATCTGAAGTGTATTTGCCACAATTTCTCAATAGTAAAATACTTCAATGTATTCAATTAACTCAAAGATTTTTAAAATAAATTGGCAAAATAATTTAGGACATTTTCCACCATATTTCTAATGGTTGTTTGAAACTATTAACACTTTAGATCATATAAAGAAGTCCTTTTAAGTCCTTTAAACCCTTATTGGATTGAAATCCTTATTGTTTTACAATGTTGTGCTCTTGCACAGCAAAGAGAATGAAGGGTACATATCAATAGCCACCCTTTATTAGATTTCCTTCCCTTTGGGTCTCCACAGGGAACTGAGTAGAGTTCTCTGTGATCCCAACACATTCTTTATTTTATTTTATTTTATTTTATTTTTTTACAGACCCATCCCCTCACATATTTATTTATTTTTTCTTTTAGTCAGAACACAAGTTCTAACATATTTTTGAAAATCTCACTTCTTATTTAATTGCTTAAGACTTTATTATCTTGTTTCTTATCAGCAGCCCCAGACTTTACTAATTTATCTCACTTGCTTTCAGTTTCTGATGGCCCTCAGTTTCTAATTAGTTGTATGTCAATAACATTTATGATTTTTAGATACGAACATCTAATAGAATGTGTTCCAATAGAACACAAGTGATAATAAGTGGATTAAAGAATTGGAAGGCATCTAGTATTTCTGAAAATATTTGGTGTCTCCATTTAAAACGACTTAGGGCAAAAGGTAATCATTAGACTGCGTGTCTCCGCTTCATTTAGTGGTTCTTGTAGCTTATTATTTTCCCCTTCCTCTGCTCCATACTCGTTGTCCTCTGGTTTCATTACATTTTCTGTGTTTGTGGTCTCTGCCCTGAAGGCTGCAGGATCCCAGCTCCTCTTGTCTCTTGTGCCTGCCCCTTGGGGGCTCAGGTTGGTCCTGAGGTTTGTGCCCTGACCCCCTGGATGGGCACTTGATTGCTGTGACCCGAGCCTGCCCTGGGTATTGAGGGGAGCTTCCCCATCGCTCTGTGGCTGTCACCGCCCTGTCTGTGGTGGGTCTGCGCCCTGGTTGGTGGAACAGAGCCCCCAGATCTGTTTCTTCGCTGTGATCCTGACCTGTGTGGAGGCAGGTGGGATTGGAGCACACCCCCGGGAGAGAAGCCCCTGAGGATTGCTGCTCTGGGGATGTTCCCCTTGGGAAGTGCTCTGTGCATCTCTTTCACCCACTGGGTGAGTCTCATGTGACCCTGGTTGGCACTGATCTTGGCCCCACTTCAACCATGGGTATGCCGGCACACGGCCCTGGGGTCTCTCCGATGTTGTTTTCCCTGCGTCACCAGCATAGATCCCCTGAACTCAGGGCCTCGGTCCCAGGTGCTGTGGAGGCAGCTCAGACTCCGGCCTGGCCGCGTCCCCTCGTTACGAGCCCACAAAGTCTACAGATGCTAAACCACACCTGCTGTGACCGGGGCGGCCCCCTTGTCCTTCAGATGCTCTGCAGGGGCTGAGCTGACAAAGCCGGTTGCCTGTGTAAAAGCATGGTTAGTGCAGCTGAGAGCAGAGACCTCAGCTTTGCTTCCTCAACCCTGGGGCTCAGCTGTGCTTTCAGCTCCATCTGAGCATGTGGCCCACCCACAGGTGTCTGCTCCAGAGGCTGCCCCAGAGCACAGGGGTCTGCTGACGGTGGAGGAGGGGGAGGCCGTGGCTGGGGCTCAGTAGAGCCCACCCGGGTGGCGGTCCTTCCTACTGCCAGGGATGAGGGGCCAGCACAGGGGGAGAGAGGCTGCGGTGGGGTTCTTCCCTTTGGGCCTCACTCAACAATGGTACTCTGCGCTTTGGTGGTGCAGGCTTCCTCCACAAGCATCCCGTTTACAGAGCTCCTCCCTCCCGTCCCCTCAGGATGTCTCCTCGTGGCCAGCCGCAGTCCTCTGCCTGGGTCTGCTCTCCAAAGCCCACGTTCCAGCACCCAGCCCGTGTCTGCAGTCGTGGACACCCTTGAGGTGGACACCCTCTCAGGCTGGGTGGGCAGGGCAGGGCTCAGCACGCCATTTGCAGCTCTCACTGTCCTGCTGCCACACGCTGGTTGCCGTGCTCTCTTCCACAGAAAATGAGGCTCTCCTTCTGTCCAAACTGGGCTCCCCCAGTGAGGGGCTCCCCGGGATGTGGACACCTCTTCTCTCTTCAGATCCCCCCAAGCTTACAGGTCTCACCCCAGTTCCTCTTCTCTTTCTTCTCCTCCTTCTTTTTTGGTCCTACCTGGCTCAGCAGGAATCTTTCTTGTCCTTTTAGGTGGTGGAGGTTCTTTGCTAGTGTTCAGAGGGGGCTCTGTGAGAATTGTTTCAATTCTGATGTATTCTTGATGCATTTGTGGAGAGGGATGAACTCCAATCTGCCTAATCCTCTGGCATCTTGATCCTTGGGTCCCCATTTCTGTAAATCTTCAAGGATATTCACTGAGAATAGTAGATAAGAAAGCTTCTATTTGATATCTTTCAGCTGTGTCTTCTCACAACACCCATGATTTGATGTCAAAGAATCCAAGGTTTGAAAATTTAATCCAAAAAGCAAACCTAGGACTATATGAAAGAGCTCACCTCAGAAATGACCATTTAACCAAAGCCTGGGGATATACAAGGGTATGTGACAGACTGAGAGGATGTTTATATGGACATAAAAAAATTGAGACCATTTCACATACTGTGGACATGACTGCCAGAAGAAATGAGCACTGTGAGTCAAATTGGGGAAAGCACCCCTTTCAGTCATCACCATCTGCCGTGCAGTCTATCTTTGTAAGCAATGACGTACATCAGCTTTTGAAACACACACGTTCTCTGAGGGGAAATGTGGAAAATCTGGAAGGTCATCCAGTCTCTACTCCAAATGCTCATTCAAACCACTCTGAACATAGACTTCGATTACACATACATTCAACCATGTCTGAAAAGGAGAATTTCACAAATGATGGGGGAAACTCACAATATAATCAACTTGAGGGATCTGTGAGGAACGGGTCATTATTCTTCCAACAGACAGGTTCTCTCCAATCCAAAATGTGTAATGTTGATAATAATGGAAGAGACTTAATTCAGCCACCACTGTTTGATACATATCATGATAGGGTTAATATAAAACAACTTTTCATGTGTAATAACACGAGTCAGGCCTTAAGTAGGAGCTCCAACCCCAATAGTTACCAGAGTATTTATGATGGAGCAAGGAACTGTTCATGCAATGACAGTGGATATAACATTGAACAAGACTCTGATCTTAGGAAACATCAGGCACCTCAATCTTCAGATAAGGACTCGAAAAGTAATACATGTAGGAATATCTTTTATCGAGCATCAGGTCATTCACTAAATAAGAGTACACATACTGGAGAGAAGACTTACAATTGTAGTGAATATGATGTTTCTAATCGGTCTTCAGAACTTATTGCACAGCAGAGTATTCAGAATCCAGAGAAAAACTACAAGTGTAAGAAATGTGAGAAAGTCTTTACTAATGCACTCAACCTATGTAAACATAGGGAAATTCATACAGGATGGAATACTTTCAAATGTACAGAATGTGACAAAGCGTTTAATCAGAGTTCAAAACTTAGTCAACATCAGCGAATCCATACTGGCCAGAAGTCTTATAAATGTAAGGAATGTGGCGATTGCTTTAGCCAGCACTCAAGTCTTACTCACCATCAGAGAGTCCATACCCGGGAGAAGTCTTTTAAATGTAAGGATTGTGGCACAGCCTTTAAACAGTGCTCATGTCTTCATAAACAAAAGGTAATTCGTGCTGGAGAAAAACCTTATAAAAGTCAAGAATGTGGAAAGGCTTTCAGTCAGTACGCAACTCTTATTCAACACCAGCAAATTCATAGTGACGAGAAGCCTTATAAATGTAAGGATTGTGGCAAAGGCTTTAGTCAACGCAGAGGTCTTACTTGCCATCAGAGAGTTCATACTGGAGAGAAACCTTATAAATGTCAAGAATGTGGAAAAGCTTTCAGTCAATATGCAACTCTTATTCAACACCAGCGAATTCATACTGGAGAGAAGCCTTATAAATGTAAGGATTGTGGCAAAGACTTTAGCCAGAGCTCAGGCCTCATGTACCATCAGAGAGTTCACACTGGAGAGAAGCCTTATAAATGCAAGGATTGTGGCAAAGGCTTTAGCCGGCACTCAGGCCTTACGTGCCATCAGAGAGTTCATACTGGAGAGAAACCTTATAAATGTGAGGATTGTGGCAAAGGCTTTAGCCGGCACTCAGGTCTTACTTGCCATCAGAGAATTCACACTGGAGAGAAACCACATAAATGTCAAGAATGTGGAAAAGCTTTCAATCAATACGCAACTCTTTTGAAACACCAGCGACTTCATACTGGAGAGAAGCCTTATAAATGCAAGGATTGTGGCAAAGGCTTTAGCCAGCTCTCAGGCCTTACTTGCCATCAGAGAATTCACACTGGAGAGAAACCATATGAATGTCAAAAATGTGGAAAAGCTTTCAGTCAATGCACTACTCTCACTCTACACCAGCGAATTCATACTGGAGAGAAGCCTTTTAAATGTAAAGATTGTGGCAAAGACTTTAGGCGCCACACAGGTCTTACTCACCATCAGAGAATTCACACTGGAGAGAAACCTTATAAATGTAAAGAATGAGGAAAAGGTTTCAGTCACTATGCAACTCTTACTAAACATGAGTGAATTCATACCACAGAGAAGCCTTATAAATGTAAGGATTGTGATAAAGACTTTAACCCAGCACATTGGTCTTACTTACCATCAGATAATTCATACTGAAAGAAATCTCATAAATGTAAGGAAACCTGCAAAGTCTTTAATCAGAGCTCTCACATCACTGGACATCAGATGGAAACCCTAGTAATGAAGTAAGACATGGAAGAGGTTTGTCCCGAACATACAGTTCAGGAAACCCAAGACTGTTTATATAAGAAAGATATGGAATGATATAAAGAAAATGTAAATAAGTATTTACAAAAAATCAAATCTAAATAAATATCAGGAAATGCATTTTCATAAATCCTGTTTTCTGACCTTCCTCTTAGGGAGAAATATTGTAGATGTGATTCATAGTTAAAATAGACAGAAACTTGATATGTTGGTATGGATCACAAGATGAAGAGGTGATGTTTAGCCATGTACAGTTCCTAGCTATGTATGTTTGTTTATATTGACATGATTTGTGATTATCTGAAAACCAAAATGAATGTAACTGAATTCTCAAATTACTCCATGCCACACTTCATTTCTAGTGTGCATGCAAAGTTATGTTTTTGATGGTTGCTACCTCAAAGATGAGAGAAGCCCTTCTCTCTAGGAAGAAAACATTTATATTTTTCTCCATTATGAGATTAAGGACACAGTAATGTAATATGTACAGTGAACATCTAAATGGTGGTGTTTGTCATTCATGTCACACATCCCTATAAGTCACCGTGATGTAAGTGTTCAGGGAATAATTCCACAGAGTAAAGTAAGATGTCCATTTTCAATAGTTACATCACTTGCTTTTAAAGTAAAATATAATGACAGTTCACTAAAATCTTGATGTATTTTATAATATCAACAGAAGTCATGAGTATCAGCTGACAGGTTTCCATTAAAGACATCTCTGCTATCCTAGAAATGTACAGAAAACACTTCCCAGAAAAGTCATGTAATTAGTGTACATCTTCTTAAATGATTAGCCTCCCTTTTGTAACCATAGAAATCACAGTTCTCAGATCATTGTATCAGAGGAAAGATTATCATTGTTTATGCTTATAATCTATATTTTAACCAAAGTTACATAGTGGAGTGTAAAAGGTTTTATTCTGTGTGTGATAAGCATACATGTTAATCAATAAAACTGAATGGTTTCTTGTGTAAATGTTGGTGTGTAATGAATGAAGTGTTAGCCTAGCAATTTAAGGTTGCAGGAAAGAATACCTAATGAGAAACTCTTCGGTATCATAGACGGGTGAAGTCTGTAACAATTAGTTTCCTTATTGCCCTTAAGTTTCAAATCACTTGATCATGTATTTCCCATCATTTCTCCACTGTACTTTTCCCCCTCTCTGTAGCTGCAGGGACATGGTGACGGTTCTAATAAGAAGGATCATACAGAGCACTGTTGAGAGCTCCCCTGAACTGCTCCATGCTGTTGCTGCCTCAGCGTCTTTCTGGGGAGCAAGCAGCCTGCGGGTCCTTGAACTCACACCAGCCACTCCTGTGAGCACTTGCACTAGCAGACCCCCTTCCTTGAGACCAGCAGGCTTGCCAAACCCCAGGGCCTATTCACAGGCTCCCCTTCAATGCCACCCTCACAGAGCCACAAAATCGTAGTCCTTTTGGTCTGAATGGACCTATCCACACTCAGCCTGGGAAGCCCACAGCACTTCACCCAGGGCCTCTTATAAAAACCTGAACCCCAATTACTTCCTCTTTCTCTGCTCACTTCTATCCTTGACCTCACTCAGAGCTTGCTGTGAATTGTCTCAGGACCTAGAGTCATGAACTCACCTGCTTCAGTTGTCCTTTGTTCTTCTCTTGAGCTAAGTAAGACTTTTCATGGGCTCATTTAAGCAAATGCAAATTTAACATTTGTCCCGAGAATACTTAAAAGCCATGATGGTAAAATTCTGAACAAAGATTTATAATATTTTACCCTGTTTAATTCTTACCACATGTTTCTTGCCTTGGCTTAAAGGAACAGTTTTTTCGTGGCTTTGACATACATTGAATGCAATATATAAATATGTGAAAGTATATATGTTATATAATTTATATTACATGCATTGAATAGAATAAATAAATATCTGAAGTTATAAACGCTAGCAGTGAGAAACACAAGGAACATGTGAGTGTGTGTGTATTCATACACATTTACTCAAAGGATTTAAAAATGCTAGACCACAACTGCTCATTTCAGAAGTGCAGATGGTTTACTAGAACTGCAAATCTTATAAATTTGTCAATCTATTTTGTCTACTATTCTGGGAATTCATTTCCTTAAATGTCAGGAGGTTATGTTTTTTAAGGAAATTCCACACTGTCCTCCCAAGTGACTGCACCCGCTTACATTCCCTCCAGCCATTCAGGAGGTTCCCTGATCTCCAAGCCTCTTCAGCGTTTATGATATTATTAGTGGGCTTTTTGCTAGTTGTTATTCTGACAGTCAGGAGGTGATGTATCACTGTCGTTTTGTTCTGCATTTCTTATTATTTAGCGATGCTGAGCATCTCTCTTTTGCCTCGTGCCCATCTAAAGGACCAAGTTGCCCCCCCCCCCACCCCGACCCGAGTATTCCTGGACCAGGGGTGAGGCCCAAGGGCCCTGCACTGTCAGGTGGGTGCCTAAGCACTACGTTATGCCTGGTTTTTCTTTTTACTTTTGAGATAATATATACATATATTTTGGAATATAATTGCTTTACAATGTTGTGTTAGATTCTGCTGGACAACTTCATCAATCAGCCATAGGTACATGTATACCCACTCTCACTTGAACCTCCCTCCCACGATCTCCATCTCACCCCTCTGGCCATCACAGAGCCCCGCACTGAGCTCTGTGCTATGGAGCAGCTTCCCACACTAATGACATAACACTGATCATTATTTCTTTGGTTGGTCATCAGATAGCTTTTAGGGCATCATTTTGAAAGGCATCTGTCCCTGCCCATAGACTGTTAACCCAAGGTCCACTGCTGCCTCTGGTTTATTTTTAAAGAAAGCTGTGATGGAAACACCTCCAGGCCCCTTGTCTCTGAAGTAGGAGGCCCCCCCCCACCTGCACAGAGGTGTTCACAGTGCAAATCATTTTGTGAAAACCAGTGTCCACAGGTTACAGAAGGGAGTAAAAACAACAGAAAACCTAAGGACTCAGACCATCTTTCCTAGAATCCTGAGAGCAAAGCCTTGCAGGAACCCAGGGCCCCCAGGTGATTCCCACCAAACACTCACCCCTCCCCTCCCCCAAGGGCACAGGCACAGGCCACACCCATCCGGGAAAGAGCCCCTCCCCAGGGAATTTGGCTGAGGTTCTTTGTTTCTTGAAGATCCCGCCATAAATCCTCCCTCCAGAGCTCTGGGGCAGGGAGAGCTGAAGGCTCAAGCTCAGGGCTCTTGGAAAGTCTGCCTCCTGAATAGTTTCAAAAGTCCTCAGAGTCAGAGGCAGGTTGCTCGGAAGTTGGGTCCATGTTCTCTTGTGAATTGTTCTGCGGCCTGCTCTCTGTAATGTGAAAAATAAGAGAACAAATAGCAGGGGTAGTCTGCAAAGAGAGTGGGGAAACTGAGCACCAAATCCAGGATGTAATTAGCATATCAGCTTCATCTTGCTTAACCACTACAGCTCTGGGACAGAGGAAGCCAGAAAAGAGCTCAGAAAAGGGAGAGAGAGACAAGAAAACTCTTTCTTCGTTTGCACGGCAGCAGTTGCAGGTGAAAGAGCTGTGTGGATGCTGTTCTCTCAATACGTAGATGCGTTTTTGCTGCATGATGTCCCCAGAAAAAGCACAGCAGGAGGAAGAAGAGGAGGAGGAAATGGCAGCTTCTCAGGTAAACGTCCTGTCCCGGGTCTGGGGCTGTGTCTGCTTTTCCTCCTGAAATGCCTGGGCTGAGAATCCGCAAACCTTTACTTCTCTGATTCCAGTTTTTCTCCCTGGGGATTTGTTATCAACTTCTGCTTTTTGCTTATAATAGTGAAGACCGGCTCTTTAGACTGCTTCTCGCTTGTGTCCCACAGCCTTTTCTTCTTTCTGTCCTGATGAATCCTCGACATGAATTAGTGACTTTCAACTGGTGAATATATTCCCTTTGTGAGAGATGAACATACGTTTCTGGGACTCCCATTGGAATGTGGTTCGGTGTTGGGATCCTAGCGAAGTAGGGGAAATGCCACGATGACTTTACATGTGGATGCAATTCAGTTCTTTAGAACAGGAGTTTAAAATGCCCTTATAAGTAGAGTGAACTCAGCAGTTCAGAATTTTCCAGAAAATTTTCAGAAATGAAAAAAGTACCATGACTAGCCTCTATATCAATAAGAAAAACTTACTATTAAATGTACTATTAGTTTGCAGATCATGCGAGGTATATATGCAGTGGAATTTGCATAAAACTGATATTTTTCATAGTAGATTGAGATCATGGTTTTCATAATATTGCTAAAATATCTGGCAGTGATAACGCATTTTTCCATGTACTTCTTACCCCATGACCTCAGATGTTCACTGGTTCAGGTGCTTCTGTGAGATTCCAGTGCATTTTTTTTGTTTTGTTTTTCTGTCTTCAAAAAGGGTCTTGGAAAGAAAAACTGAGGGATATGCGCAACTATCACAGTTAGTGGGGAAACTCTTTATCATCTTGGTTTCTCTTCGCTTTGAACAATGAACACTGTTGGCTAAAACAGACACACAACTTGAGAATTGTGAGTTAAGTTTTATTCAGAGCAAAATAAGGACAGCAACCCAGGAGACAGCACCTCAGATAACTCTGAGAGACTGCACTAAGGAGGCAGTGGGGAAGGTGAGTATATAAGGTTTTAGTGAAGGGGGACTTCAGTGCAGTCAAGCATTTACTTTACAAAAGCTTTTCTGCCAGTCGTGAGGAGCTGATGTCACCGTTCAGTGATTTAGTGCTTTTCTAGATA